TTTAAACAAGAATGGAAATTCTTATGAAGGAAACTACTCGCAAGGTTGCTGAGAACTCTTTAAAGTCCCACGACCGGTTTTGCACTTCGTGGGGCTCATCAGGTACCCGCAGTCCCCAAGTTTCCGTCAACTTTGTTTTACTTGAATCCAAATCGGACTGATTTCGACAAATACACTCATTTGCAGATCAACTTGGTTTTCGCGAGAGACTCAAGTGAATCTCTCATTTATGATGCTCTTCAACTGAATGTGCTACACACATGCCCCCTCATGTTTCAGTTGGTACGACGTTCGAGCTATTGCAGTATATTTTTATGAAGTTAACTACTCACAAGAACAGCATAAACGAGAGATTCACTCAAGTCCCCTGTTAAAACCAAATAGATTTGCAAATGGTTTTACGTGTCGCAGAATAAGAATTCATTTTCGAGCGGTGGCTTATCGCTAGTGCACAGCACGCAACCAGTTTCAAATTTTATTAACATTTTTCCTAGCGAACGGAAAACAATTCTAATTTGCCCTATCAAAATTTGTTTTATCGTTTTTCAGTCATGCAATGGAACGCAATGATTTTGTCATACAGATACGTGTTTTTTCTGATTTTTTTAGAACTAACCTCATTTTTGAACCCTTTCCTAAGTGGGTTATTTCTACAGTTTTTCCTAATATGTTGACTATCATGATTATTCTCAGTTGAGTTGAATTGTCCTCGAGGGGATCACTGATAATTTTATGCTTTGGATACCACTTGGGCAAAAACACATGGTTTTTCGGTGCACGCTAAGAGCAACACAAACGAATGACTAAACCATTATATTTCTAGTGCATAGGGAAAACATAATGCTTTTATCGGCTTGCAGCTAAATACATCTGCTACACAGTTTACACACACAACCGTCTTATCTCTTGTCAAACAAATGAAGCAGAATGCACTCGATTTCTCATCCCCGTCACGCTGTGAACAAGCTGAACGTACAGATACGTATCAGGAGGCGCGCAACAAGGCTATAATTTTCCCCTATTATAACTGACCGGTAACCGACTGCCAAAGTTCCGACTGTCAGTAGACAACCTAATGCCAAATGTCACCTGTCTCGCTTCCGTAAACTGCCTCCCATGACCTGGGGTTCTCTGGTTTGCTCTTTCAGAATTGAACACAACTAGTTGATTGTTTGCAAGGTAAACAATATGGACGTACACTGAATAACCATAAACTGGTTCTGCTTCTTTCCCGCTGTGTTCTGGCAAATAAAGCGGCAAAAATTTATCAGACTGACGCGAACGTTTTGGAGGGTTTGTAAGAATAGTTAGTTGGATATTTTGCGGTCATGTTCAACACAAACGCAGATTTCTGAATGTGTGCTTCATTATTTATTGTGTTATTCTGTTGGCCACCTATTCTATTTTTGTATCTCTAGCCAAAATTCTTCGACCATTAGATTCGCGCACATCAACAAAAAAATACTGAGTATGTCCTTGCGAAAGTGAAATTAGTTTGTTCGGTTGATGCAACTGAACTTCATCTATCTCTGTTCGGTTGGTAATGAGGATGGATTTTGGTGCTCAATGTTCCACGCTCTCAATCACTTTCGGCTATCGACTAAAAAGAGACATTTATACTGATGTGAGCAACGTGATGTGGAATGCAAAGTTGACCGAGCTTTCCTGAAGTGCTATTTGTCTGTAAACAAACTACTCCTTTTTTAGATCACATATGTACCATCATTAATGTGAACAGCACAGACAGAAAGCAGACTTTGGCGGGTACAATTATTCCAGGTGAGTTCCTCGATAATAACCAAATATGGGCACGTTAAATATGTTTATACTGCCATGGATCTAACCGAACTGATAACGAAAAATAAAACGAAGGGTTGGGGCAAAACGGCCAAAAACGGCTAGGTCTGAAAGCATAAATTACCCTTCACTTGAACAAAGCAAAAACTGATTCAAAGCTGAGAGCTTGACTAACCGATCACACTGGAAGCTTCTGTTCAGTAGTATAGTGGAACATGTTGATTCTGCTTGGAGAATACAGCCTATCGGCGTTGTCAATTGAGCTTTATATTCAATGACAATGTCCCTCCAAAAGTGAAGCTCATTTTTAGTCAAACGTCGATAAATACTGTACAACTGTTCCATGTTACTGGGAACCGTAGTCCGCGCACACCTCACGAAACATTTGGATAGCAAACAATGACATGAGTTAAGAAAATTGTATAGTCAGGGGACGTTTTGGGAAATACGTGGAATCAATTTAACTAAATACCAGATTCAAGTCTGAAAAAACGGTTTTTTCGTACACAAGAGGTTTTAGAATAGTGATGGCAGTCATAATCTCACAGATTGTGATTGCTTGACAGGGAACCAGCTTCGAGGGTCAGGGATCTGATATGCACCTTGTTGGCTGTAAAAAAGCCTTGGTAAGTATTCTTGGTCCGAAATTTTCATATGCCAGCAAGAAGCAGACCACTGGCTGTCAGAATAACAAGGTGCTCCCAATGACACACCCGGTATATCTGAAAGTCCCTATCCCATAAAGGAAATGACATATTCTAACAGTTTCATTTGTTCCACAATTAGGTATTCTTTATAAAACGCGCGACAATCGTCCCAGAATATTCTGAAATGTCTAACACACTGCGAGTGGATGCACACACAAGTTGTATTGGCTAGTAATGAACCTTGTAAAGTTTGTTTGTTCAAAAAGTTACTATTGCGCTTTCGGCTGTGATGAAACACAACGTGGCGCTGCAACAATTCACTAGCATCTAAATGCATTAACATCGTCTGAACAATTGAAGCGTTTTAAATCTCCAAGCAATCAGAGTCTGTGTTGCGGCACTGCAAGTGCTGGTGAACAGCTCCAGTAAACAAATTTATTACTCCTACACTGTCAAACAGAAGACAAACTGATAGGAATGACTCAGGATGAGTTGTCATAGGCTAGCAGCAGCAAAAATATTCCTTTCAGTATGCAAGGCGCAAAACTGAATGTGGCCAGCGACAACCATTTCCAAAAGCTATTGAGCTTCTCCGGTTCAAACTTGGCTGAGATAACCGAGTCTGTAACGTTGAACACGTTTTGTCATTGTTAGGTTTAGATCTGGTGCTACAGACTTGAACACCCACCAAGTAGTTTTTTCCAAATTATAGAAATAGTAAATTGATTCCGCCGGGATTCTACCGGCTTTGAACATTTTGACGACACATCTGTCTGGCAAGAATCTTGGAGTTTCCGGCGTAGAAGAAAGTGTCGGCTAGCAAATAACTTTTGCACTTTGAAGCGTTTTAGGTTCTACGGGATTTTTTATGCTGTCGCACGCCGGAAAGTGAATAGGGTGGTAGTTTGTGCCTCCGCAGTGACATTTGCTCTGGGTTTCAAAAAATATTTAGAAGGAAGGCCACATTGATATGGTGTCCGAACGTGAAGGACATTTCAAAGAGCTTCTTCAGCATTTGTGTAAGCTAATACCCAAAAAAATACTCCACTTGCTTGGAGAATAATTGGGAGAATCTCCGAAATTATAATGTAGCCATAATTAACATGGTCAGTGCCATCAAACGGAATCGTGCAGTCTTGGAATTGTTCGAATGTTCACCGCTTTAGGTTAGTAACGACGTATTTATGAGGCGCCGAGCAGTCCTTGGAAGTTTAGTCATCCGTAAGAGTGACCAAGATGTCTGAAAAAATGTGAGCAAATAGTTTTTTTCATTCAAAGAAACACAAAGAAGCTAAACTGGATTTGTATGTGTGGTGCGTCACCAATGCTTTTCCACCTTAACGCCAGTTTTAGTCGAAAAACTTCTATGCACTCTGCCGCTAGTGCAATTTTAGCTAATTTCTTCCAACTTACAGTGCCGAAACCTCATCTTTCCATTGGATGCTTACCGTTGTATGAAAAATCTCCACCGGGCTGTGTTAAATCGAAGGTTTCCCTGGTAACGTTCTCATTTGACCTGATTTTATTCGGCCTTATTTGGAAACCATAAGGAATGGTCAATGTAATTTTCTTATGCCGGATCACGCTAAGATTATATGTGAGAGATTGATCATACGCATTTTTCCCTTGGTGAGTAACTATTTCATAATTAAAAGATTTTCCAGATTGGCTCAATTTCCTGGGACTTTCTATTGGTTAGTTTTACTCTGACCAACTTTTCAGACGATGAGCAGTTAAAGGTCAAGGTTACCGCTTGTTACTTTCGTGTGACATCTGCTCGTTGCGGAATGTAGATAGCTTGGATGCGCTGCTTGGTTGTTGGTCTTTTCGCCGGGCCTGGTAGTTGGATTACAAACGTTTCATCACCAATCGAGGTGACATCGTCATTGCAGGGTTGACTAGGTTCCTCCTATTCTGTCTGTGATTATGTAGCATCTAAACAGTATCTGGTAGTTCTGGAAACGGTCTTCGCGTAGGTTGATTTGTCTCCTGTGAATGTGACGTGGTCTCAATCTCCTGTGTCTGGTTGTTTCCTTGGGCGCAATCAATTCGGCAGTTCTGTGTGGTTGTTCTGTTGTGATTCGGCCGTTTTCTTCTTGCTTTGTGGTGTGAGCTTGTTCCCTTGATTGGTTAATTCAGTGGCCTTCTGTTTTTAGTGATTGTCTTCCTTTGATCCAATTAGCCGTTGGATGTCGTTAGGTTTCTTGGCTCCGAGTCTCGTGACTGTGTGGTTCTCTTGCTCGCAACGGCTGATAGACTAGGTCAATGTCAACGTGTTTATTGATCAGTTTTTGTGTGGATTACCACGCCCCGGTTAATTCTCGCTCCTGTTTTGTTCTTGCGTGAGCAAGTATTTGAACATTCTCCCAATTGAACTAGTGTCCTTCTCTGTCTTCGTGCAATGAGACGAGTGATATTGGGTCATGCCTTCTGCTGGCAAGCTTGTGTTCGTGTATTCTCGTAGCAAGTTTTCTTCCCGTTTGGCCAACATAGTGTTTATCGCAGTCGTTACACTTAAGTTTATAGACCACGTTAGTCTTCTTCAATGCATCTAACCTCCCTTTGGTTTCGAGAGAGTTCTCAACGTGTTTGTAGGCCTGAAGGCGACTGCGATTCCATGTTGCCGTAGATGTCGTTCAGTCATCTCCGCCACTTTTCTGATATACGGCAGCGTAATCTTCCTCTGCTGTTTGTGTTGACGAATCAGCTTGTTGCTGGCCTCGTAAGCACCTCCATATGAAATTCCTCGGGTAGCCGTTATTTTGGACTGTCTCATAGAGTCTTCATTCTTCTTCTTTCTTCGCCTCTGTTGTGTTGCGGTGTGTCTCCACCCGCTTGAATAGGGTTTGAACGCAGCCCCACTTGAAACAGTTCGAATGGTTCCTGGGGTAATTCAGAATCTGGTTCGCATGCGTTTCTTTCCTGTATACTTCAGTTTGCAGTTGGCCGTTTGTTGTCCGTGTGACGAGCACATCTAGGAATTCTTGTTCTTCTTTGTTTCCATTGTGGAGTGGATGTCGGGAAACATGTTGTTCAGCAGTTCCTCCGCCCGTGGCAGTTCCTTTTTCTTTACAGTAGCAAATGTGTCATCCAAATATCGTATTCCTATTTTCCGTTTGATATCTGGTAGTGCGAGAATCGAAGACGAAATAATGGTGTCCTTTGATGTAACCACACTGTTCACATCGGTTGATTTAAATGCAGCACGGCGACAGTCGCCGAACTCCTGGACAACCGCAGAAACATCAGCGGAACGCTCGGAAAAGAAAAAAACGTGTGAATTACTAGATCTGGGCTTGACAACCTACTTTGAGTTCAATGGAGAATATTATGAACAAATTAATGGAGCGCCAAAGAGGTCACCAATCTCTGGACCCATCGCAGAAATTACAGTGCAGAAACTGGAGCAAAGCGCACTACCAATGATGAAACGTATGTAATCCAACTACCAAGCTCGGCGAAAAGACCAACATTCAGGCATCCGCTCGTGTAATGAGATTGAATAATACGGACAAACGATTTTACTGTATAGGTTTCATTTGGAATTACTTTCACCCAACATTGCGCCCAGTTGTGGAGAGTCAGGAAAATTAGGAGGATGCAGGCTTCAAAGCCAACAGCTGAGTAAAGCAACCTTTTCCCTAATCGGAACCTTACATTTCATATCCGATCCGCGGTAGGTATGTTTGTCCAGCGGATGACACGTGCTGAAAGATACCCGTCATTTTTATTTGACCTCGGGAGATGCAGCATCACAGTTTTCTGGGTCTGACTGTCCCAACCGACTTACAAGGATTTCCTTGTAAATTCAGTCTCATCTAAATAAGAATTAACAGCTTTAGGAATGATAGAGTCCAGTTAATTCTGACTATTTCACCCCCATACAGGTTGTCTCTACAGAGCAAAAGTGCGTTTGGGGGAGCGTCACAACTTCTTTGTCCGCTCAGTTTTACGTCAAATTAAATAGGAATTATTTGTCAACGTTTGTCGACATCATACGTAGGTTCTACTAAGATAGGAATGAAAACCGTGTAAGTCGTAAACACAGTTTTTACTGATGCACCATCACGGATGAACATATTTCTTGCCGTGAGCGATGATAGGTTGTAAACAAGCATGTTTCAAGTTGATCGCTTGCTCGTGCAGTCTCCTCCATCTAACCGCACAACCCATCTGTTCATCAGCAAAATAAAAGCTATCAAAATAATACCCTCCTGGTTAAAAACAAGTTGAAAAACTGATGAAAAACTGGGTATTTTAAAGGGAGGGTTCATCAGTATCTCCGCCCTGTAATGACCGAGGATTCGCCTTCCAATCTGAGGCTGTCCAAAAAACGGAAAGACTGACACAAGTATATTGGAAACCGGTCGTGGGCTGCCGAAGAATTTTCAGCAAACTTGTGAGTAGTTTCCTCAATGAAAACATACGGCGATATCTCGAATATCGTGCCAACTGAAACATGAGGCAGCTTATGTGCAGCACATTCAGTTGTAGCACATCATAAACGAAAGATTCAGTTGAGTCTCTGGTGAAAACCAAATTGATTCGCAAATGAGTGCATTTCTCGAAAACAGTAGAAATCGGGTTCAATTAGATTATAAGGTTGACGGAAACTCGGGGACTGCGCCTACCTGATGAGCCCCAAGAAATTAGAAACCGGTCGTGGGCTGTCGAAGAGTTTTCAGCATCCTGGTGAGTAGTCTCCTTCATGGAAACCTGACCACTTCACGTTCCAAAACAAAGACCAGTACTCTGCTGATCCGCCTGGTCCTATCCGATTAATCTCAATAGAGACGACACAATTCCTTTGATCAAGGCTTATCTCGTTGTCTCATGCTTTTAAGTGGAACTTCCGAGAAAAGGCATGGTGTTTGTTGTGTTTCTCGAGGTGACCGAATACGAACCAATTTCTTTTTCCTTGCATAATGTGAAAAATGGTCAATAGCCATTTGAGTGAAATGCCAACCGCATCTTTTTTGTCGAAATTTAATCTACAAATCACGGAATACCTGGTAGTTAAGGAGATTCGCTGCATTCTTGCAAGTTTATGATCTTCAGACCCGCCTACTGTTGATCCATTGAATTAATCCACTCATAAACTGGTGATAAATTAGAATGCAGAAAAACACCCCCACTCACTCTGATTAAAAAGCAGTTTTTATATTGTGCATGCGGTCGATTTTGAGCCTTTTGGTCGAAAAAATATAGTATTGCCAGGTTCAATATAAATTTCTAAACTGAGTGAAATGTTTTCGATAAAATGGATTTTATCGACAGACAAAAGTCGGGTATATTAGAATCATAAAATGAATAAGTAATTCATGAACAGCGCAATTTACAAAGATGTTGTGAAACTAGCTGAGAGAAATTTAGAGAAATATTGAACCCACATTTTACTCCGATCAAAGGGCTCTTCTGCTTGGAGGGTTCCATAATCATCGCTTGGACTTTACACACCAATAACGCCTAATATCGTCTGGAAACTGATGAGATATAAACTTATCCAAGATATACAGACAGACAGTAAGGGGAGAATGCATAAACAGATGTTCCTTTATCTCTGAGATTTTACAGCTTTCAGATGTGGAAATTGAGCGATAGCGCGATTCGGCCTTTGTACCTAACATCGACTAAAATTACTCAATAGTTTGCCTGTATAAGTCGGATAATGCTGGCTGGCCGAAAGAGACACGCTAGCTTACTAATGCCGAGGATTCAGGAACTGCGAGGATGGCCGAAGTGTAACAAAAGACAAGGTATTTTAGTCAGCAATCAGCGAAGGGAAGAAGGCCTTCTCTGCGGATTTGTTTACTAGAGAAACATCAATTAAACACTCGGAGACTATAGGACAGGGAAGCAAGACACTCATATGCATCTTGTTTATAAAACTGAATAGCCATCTTCTCCTTGAAGGCGTCTTCCTGAACTTTCCTGGATATTCATTGGCTGTTACTCAAATTCAAGCAAATGCTACGAAGCAAACGAACTGCGAGCAAATGCTACAGAGCGATTCCACAAATTCTGTAGTAGATGTCACTTTTCAAGAGGCGCAAAGTGGATTTACGAGAAAACATACTACTTCCATGCCTCGTCAGTAGTACCCACCGTTGCACCAATAGCCCCGTTCAAACTGGAAGCTTTTGACTCCACTTAGAGGACAACGGAATCAAAGGTATCGGGTAACACAATCGACAGCATGTAGTCTTGAGACACGCACAGTTCCGTCTGTATCTGACGGCGTGATTTGAAATTCCACAGCTACCCTAAGAAGCAAGATGTTTGTGTCTCCAACCCAAAGACGTTTGACCGCAGTATGTCTTCATTTTAATTATGATGCACACCGTTCCCTCGTAGCGAATGCCTACTGAGGATTTTTCTAGGTAGTACTTGCTGACTAAAAAGTATGACAAATGAGCTGTTTAAGGCGGGTTTGTATAACTCAGGACAAAACGCCTTCCATTTCACCTACACATATAATAATCCAATCGAATCGGATTGCAAAGAGTTAATTAATTCACTCTGCAGGTTGTAAAGCATGGACGTCCACTTGAGGCGTCTGTCCACCTTCGAGATGTTTGGCAATCGTTGGGTCCCCAGTTTAAGCAGGTTTTCGTCCTTTGGAAATCAGGTCACAGTCTTTGAAACTTTGTAGAATGCCAAATTTTGTTTGTGGCTAAAATCAAAATTGTCCACTAATATTTCACTGACTTTACTATAACTGTTCGGGGCGGCTGGTGTAAGCAAGAAGAAAGAAACATGAAAAGAAGTCATCGAATATATGTTTAGCAGATACGCTGATCGGCCTGTATTTCTGATTAAATCAGAAGTTGGAATCTCAAGAGACAGATAACTAGAACTTATTTCATAGCTGTCTGATGAATCCCATTGATGACAAAGACTAATACGATGAATAATTTTGACGGAAGTCGACCTGTCACAAAGTAAACTACTCACAAGGTCGCTGAAAACTCTTTGACAGCCCAAAATCGGTTTTGCACTTCCTGAGTCTTGTCACGCGAGCACAGTTCCCGAGCTTCCGTCGACAATAATTTATTCTTGAACCCAAATTAAACAAATTCAGACAAATACCCTCGTTTGTATATCAATTCGGTTTTCCCAAGTGACTCGACTGAATCTCTCGCTTATGATATTCTTCAATTGAATGTACTGCACAAAGGCCACCTCATGTTTCAGTTGGTATGGGATTCGAGATGTGACAGCATATATTTTCATAAGAAGAACCACTCATAAGGTTGCTGAAAGCCTCTGGACAGTCCACGATCGGTTTCGTTCTTCTCGAAACTAACCAGTTAGGAGCCTATATAATGCACGGAACTGTTGCTTAGGTTATATCACTAATGCGCACTTCTAAAGATTGTGATTTATTACGTTGCGGAACGTATTTAAACTAAAAAGCAACTACGTGCAACTCCAGGCAACCTACCCACGAGGCTCATTAATTTTCTCTGGCACACCCTACGGTATCCAAAAACCTATCTACTAGAGGCCCCTGTTCATCTTTCTGCAAAACTAGCCAATAGCAGTGGCACGTTGTAAATGAGAATTGTACCGCCTTTATTCATCATATTAAACACAAAATAATGTGAACTGACTTTTTCAGGTAGGATCTGTCAGTGTTACTTGTGAGTAGCTGGGCAAAGCTTGGGATTTGTTTCCTTGACTTGAGAAGCATTTTGTTGTTTCGTACCGAAAATGGGAAGTAGTGGTTTCTATGTTTATCCTGACCACAACTCTTTAAGTTGGATTCTAGCATTT